ACAGTCCTCTTTCAAAGGTCTGTGTTCAGTTTTCTCCACTGGCATAGTATTTTGCCCCTGCTCCAACACCAGACTTTTGGCTAGCAGATATGAGAAAAGACCTCCACTCTAGTACACTATGACAGAACAAAAACTCGCCAAGTATCCTTGGAACCTCGTATCTATAGATGAAGGAAGAGAAATTCCATAACCTCCTGAGAGCATATGAAATTTTTGTGTCTAGCAGTACATGTGCCTCTTAATGGGAACGAGGTCCATAGTACTCATAAGACTCTCAAAAGAGACTATGACTTTAAAATATTAAAAACAATTGCTCATTGAAAATGATCCCCCAAATCTTTTACAATTCCTGTGCTTTAAAATCTCTGAAGGTTTCCCAGTATCCGTAATATAAACTCTCTCAACATATTAGCTAAAGCACTCCACAGTGAAGCCATCACTCAAAATACTAGAATTCAAAACCTATCCTGGCAATTTTTAATGTACTTTACAATTCTAAGAAATCAAACTACTTCCTTCAAACATATGCTTTCCTTCCTCAAGGTTCTGCTCACAATTTCCCTCTTCTGAAACATTTTCCTGTATCCTCAATGAACAAAATCCTAATCATTCTTCATGTTCTAGTTCACAGGTCACACCTATAAAGATTTACCTACCTACTCAGCTGAAATTAACCTTACTCATCTGTGCTTTCATAGTATCTTGTATTTCCACTCTAGCACTTGTCACATTCTCCTTGGTTTATGGTTACAGTGAGGTGCCCAATCTCTGGGCTGAGCATAAGTACCAGTCTGTGGCCTGTTAGGAACCAGGCTGCACAGCAGGAGGCGAGCGGCAGGCGGGCGAGCAAGCATATCCACCTCCTGTCAGAACAGCAGCAGCATTAGATTCTCATAGGAGTGCGAACTCTAATGTGAACTGTGCACACAAGGGATCTAGGTTGCATGCGCCTTATGAGAATTTAATGCCTGATAATCCGAGGTGGAACAGTTTCATCCTGAAGCCATCCCTCCCTTCGCCCCCGCCCCATCCGTGGAAAAACTGTCTTCCACGAAACTGGTCCCTGGTGCCAAAAACGTTGGCTGGGTTATAGTATTGTAATGTTTTCCGTGACCTGGTAGAATATAACTAAAGGACAAAAGCTGCATCTTATGCCTCGCTGTGATCACCAGTGATACTGTGCCTTAAATAATATAGGTTTCTAATATAAATATCTACAAAATTAAATTAAAATTAATACTGGGTACAGTGGCATATGCCTGCAATTGCAACACTTTGGGAGGCCAAGGCTGGAGGATCACTTGAGCCCAGGAGTTTGAGACCAGTCTGGGCAACATAGTGAGACTGTGTCTCTTAAAAAAAAAAAAAAAAAAAAATTAGCCAGGTGTGGTGGAAAGTGCCTGTGGTCCCAATTACTTGGGAGACTGAAGTGGGAGGATTACTTGAGCCCAGGAGATTAGGCTGCAGTGATGCAGTGAGCCATGATTGTGCCACTGCTCTCCAGTCTGGGTAACAGAGCCAGAGCCTGTCTCAAAAAAAAAAAAAAAAAAAAAGAAACCCCTTAGATTTGCAAGGAAATTTGGCTATTATTAAACAAAGATGAAAACTACATGGAAGAATGGATGTGAAAAGCATATGGCAATTTCATCCCTTGAAACTTACAAAGTGGCTAGTCTAGGCCAGTTAAATCCAAGTTCATATACCCACAAATTCTTTCACCCAAAAGGAAAGCCAATTCAGTTATAGAAAGCCTATATGAATAGAAAATGAACGAATGTTAACAAAGTAGTCTGCAAACTATAAAGCATTACACAATATAGATAACTAATCATGACTGTTACAGTCTACTATCCTTTAACATAGTGTATTTTTTAAACTACCAGACTATTTTTTAACAGACCAACATAGTTATAAAGAGTTTTATGGGTTAAAATTAATGAACTGAAACAATTCATGACTATCTTAAGATGATTTAAGAGATCATTAGATGCCCAGATGAAATGATAAAAGTATGAAAAATATCAAAGGGAACTGATACTAAAGTTTTATATTTTAAGATTATGTTTATTATATAGAACATCAAGTATACTAAGCAATGAATAATTTCTAAAGACAGAGATTTTTTGTCTTCCTTTGTTTGAATTTCAAACTGTTTTATTCATAGCAAGTTTTTTATAAGAAAATTCAAGGAGTAATAAGACTTGGCCAGTTAAGGAAGAACACTTTGTATTTCACATGGTAAACCAGATCATGAGGGAAAAAAAACAACGATTTTCTAGGTCAAGAATGCTCACTTCAAGCATTCCTCAGTAGCTTCAAGGCTCTACAGTATATTATTCCAGGCAAATGGGCAAGGAATAATAAATGAGTGAAAGAGAAACTTCTGGGACAAGTTTAAGTGCTGAATAATTCTCTTATTTTGTATACCCTGTGACCTTCCTACAGGAAAGGTGTGCTAATAAAAACCATGCTTGGCTGGGCACAGTGGCTCACACCTGTAATCCCAGGACTTTGGGAGGCCGAGGCAGGTAGATCATGAGGTCAGGAGATTGAGAACATCCTGGCTAACACAGTGAAACCCTGTCTCTACTTAGAATACAAAAACTGAGCCACACATGGTGGCACATGCCTGTAGTCCCAGCTACTCAGGAGGACGAGGCAGGAGAATCACTTGAACCCAGGAAGCGGAGGCTGCAGTGAGCCAAGATCGCGTCACTGTACTCCAGCCTGGCGACAGGGCGAGACTCCATCTCAAAAAAAAACTTGCTCATGGGCTACTCAGTTTCTATTCTTGTACCCAAAACCATATGATGTTAATTATTCAGGAGGATATATTAGAAATGCTTTGTGCTTACACATTTTTGTTATAAAAAGACTTTTTATGTTGCATCAACTTATGCAAAAACATAAGTAAGAAAATTTTAGGTTTAAAAATATATAGCCACCTGTTAGCTGAGATACTTCAAAAAGCAGTATCCAAAGAGGAAGAGGAGGAGTAGTAGTCCAAAATGCACTTATAATGACAAAAAAGGTCTTACAACAAGCCATATTACAACATACATTTTAATAAAACACATTGAGTTGTACAAAGCCTATATTCTTTTCATATTCCTTTGTATATTTTATTTAATCTTTCTCTAAAAAGCTAATTAAATGGTGAGAAATAATCCAAAGAATTTCAGAATCAGTGTATTTAACTGGGCATATTATGACACCTAAATGTATGGCAGAATTCAGTCTTGGTAGCACATGCTATAATTTAAAAATAATGGTCCTCTATTTTATAAGGAATGTTGATTTATATAGAAAGTAACAATATAATAGGAATACAGGATTATAGATAGGTAATCAGAAAATTTGAATTCTAGGTTCTAACTAAGCACTACTACTAAGGAACTGAGCCTAATATTTTCTTAACCTCTCTGGGTCTCAGACTATTAAAAAAATGGAAGTAGGAGGGTTGATTTTATATTCCATTCAAGAAATTATGATTCGGTTCACATAAGCAAAGGCTTTTACCCAATAATAAATATATAAAGTATCTACGTGTCAACATGTTAATGTCAGCTAAAAAAGAGCATTATAAACCATTAGGCACTGAAAATTCAAATTTAAAAATTTTAGTGCCTCATAAACAAATACTTTAAAAAAATAATTTAAGGCCAGGCAAAAAATAATTACATGTGTTAATGAAAGCATAATCACAATAGGAAACCACACAGCTAATTAAGCCCCAGTTTTTGCCTCAAAAATGTTATAAATTAATGCTTCCTCTATTTTAGAATGTTGATAACTAATACTCTACAGAAACACTACAAACATGATACTACACAATTAACACAAAATTACTGATTCTGAAATTAAGCACACTTCATTTAGAAAAGCCAAAACCAAATTATTTTTACAAGGTGCAATTCTGCAACTTATGAAAATGCTGAAAGGCAGGATCCTAAACTGAAAGTGTAGGACTATAAAATGGGTAAAGAGTGCATGGGAGCAGTTACGACATTTCTACTTTTGTCCTTTATGAAATTCACTTGGCAATAAAGAAGGCATAAAACTGTTATGTAACTCTATCTTCAAATTTTTAAAGTCAAATATAAAAACGAAGAAGGGAGAGGAGGCCCTAGAGCTTAGAGCTCCCCAACAAACATACTTAGATAGTAGAATTCTGCATTCAGAGAGGGAAAACCTTATACTTAAACCTGTAAATAAGTAGGTCTTTGATCATGAACTTTTAAGTGACTTACGAAGAGAATCAAGCAATTTTAATAGGACTGTACTAAGGTTCTTTCTTAGAGAATATAAAACATGGGGTACCTATTCATTTGTCAAGACCACAATTTAATTTTTTCAATCCCCAAACTAATTGTTATAGATCAAACAGATTTGATTTAAGGTGAAACCTTACTCCTGAAAATTATGAAGCACAAAATATCAATTAAGATCTTCAAATAGGCCATCAAATTTGTTTTTTAAAAAAATTTCTTACTGTAATGAAGTCATTCCCTTTAACCATTCTTCCTTGGTAAAAAATCCCATGCTTTCAGCCTCCAATTTCCACGCTAAAACTAACATAATAATCTGGAAAGAACAGAACATAAAGGATAGGGGAAAAGTCAGCATAGAGATAATCATGTCTATATTTATCATGGAGAGCATTTTTACACAACTACTTCCATCCTTCAACTATTAACGAGTATAACCTCTGGAATTATTAACTTTATATAAAGAAATTGAGATGTGCCAATTTCTTAAAAGTAAAAAGTTCTAACAGTTTCTGAAGGTAGAATCTCTTATTCTATTACATGTAACATTTGTATCAAGAAAGAACACATTTGCCCAACTTAAACTGATTAAATGTGCCCTAAATGCAAATTTACAATCTTAAACATGAAGAAATAAAATCTTCATACAAGATTAAAGTGTCTCAATTTTTATAAATTTATGAATATGCTATATCCCACTTATATTCCATTCTACTTAGAAATAAAACATACATTTTCAGGTTCAACACCAATGTCTTCACAAAATTTTTCCATTCCTTCTGGCCCTACAACTTCATCAGGACCTTCAAAGACAAAAATAATTTACATTATTTTGTTATACTATCAACATAAAACATAAACCATCATGCTAAAAGTACCCATGAACACACAGTATTTTGCAAATAATTAAATCTGAATTTTGGCATAGCTTTGATAAGTATAAATATTTGCTATAGGATTTAAAATTTAAAATTTGTGAAGTATTCTTTGAATACATTACAATATGAAATTAAGAAAATTTAAAAAGCAGCAAAGAAATACTCCATTAGTATCAATCATGAGTCAGTACAAAAACTCAAACCGATCCATTAAAAAAAAAAAAATTTACTGAGAGCTTACTCTGAATAAAATTTTTGACAATGTATGAATATGAAAAAGCATAAGGCAGCTGGAGCTTCTTAATCTACTGGAATATCAGAACCAACACAAAGTTCAATACAGTAATCAGAAGGGTTTAATGTTTACTTATAAAACAGGCCATTTATTACCCTTTTGAAATATACTCAAATATAATTTAATTATTAAAAAAGACAAACGTATTTTGGAAATAATGACTTATGGAAATTACTACACTCCATTTCCAGAAAGAGCTATTTTCCTTATCATCTTGGTTCTAAAATAAGACAGCAAGCATTAATATCACCTTAATGTAGAAACAAAAGTTTAATCTTTCAATTAGCTAATGTCTATCATTTGTCCAAAAATTAATTACTGGTATTTAACTTGTTCCTTATTTTACACCCTTAGCAACACTAATAAATCAATACATCAATTATCATTTTTTCAAAATGTTATCAGATTCCCAAAATACAGTAATTATATCATCACTAGTCTCTTTTATGACTGGATAAGACTAAAACAAATTTTGTAATAATATGAGAAATGTGTTTACTGCTATGGGATTTTGAAAACATAATCTTGAGGTATTATTCTTAATAGTCAAGAGAAGCCTCTATTTTCCTTTTTAAAGGATGAAAATCTTCCAGTTTTATAAACCATGGACTAGACCAAGGCTGCTCAGGTAGATGTGACAGCACCATCTTTAGGTTACTAACACAACATAAAGTCAATACATTCTTGCTGCCTGGGATCCAAGCTGCTAAGATGACATTAATACATGGTCTGAAGCCAAAACCCTTTTTAATTTTTTTGTGTAACATGGTAAATGTTATTAGGTTTAAGTAAGTACTAACAATGCACTCATGTGTTAAAAGGTGAAGGGGGTGATTAATTATAGGGTGCTTTTTCTTCCTTTATATATTTGGAGAACTGTTTAAATTAGAATGTGTTAATTTTATAATTTAAAAGGCATACATATACAATAAAGGTGTTAAAAATGCATAACTGAGTATGTATTCTTATATATGATTGAAAGAAAACAAAAATCAGATTTAAAAATTTAAGAGGCCCAGGTGCTGTGGCTCATGCCTGTAATCTTAGCACTTTGGGAGGCCGAGATGGGAGTATCACTTGAGCCCAGGAGTTCCAGACAAACCTGGACAACATAGGGAGACCTCATCTCCAGGGAAAAGAAAAAAATAGCCATGTGTGGTGGTCCCAGCTACCCAGGAGACTGAGGTGGGAGGATTGCTTGAGCCCAGGATTTTGAGGCTGCAGTGAGCCACGATCACGCCATTGTACTCCAGCCTGAGAGCGAGGAAGGCCCTGTCTCAAAAAAAAAAAAAAAAAAAAAAAAAAAAAAAAATTAAGGGAAAAGACAAATGGTTTTTTTAAAAGCCATGATGTGAATATATTGTAAATTTTTCTAAAGCTGCCATTAGAGATTCGAAGAGAAAGCTGAAGAGGATGTCAAGAAATATCAGTATAAGCCAGGAGCGGTGGCTCACGCCTGTAATCTCACCACTTTGGGAGGCCGAGGCAGATGGATTATGAGGTCAGGATTTCAAGACCAGCCTGGCTAAGATGGTGAAACCCCGTCTCTACTAAAACTACAAAAATTAGCCAGATGTGGTGGCAGGTGTCTAAGCTACTCAGGAGGCTGAGGCAGGAGAATCGCTTAACCCAGGTGGCAGAGGTTGCAGTGAGCCGAGATTGCGCCACTGCACTCCAGCGTAGGTGACAGAGCGAGACTCCGTCTCAAAAAAAAAAAAAAGAAGAAATATCAGAGCCCCCCCTAGAAACTGGAGGATTACTTGGTGATTACTAATTAAAATTTGGTTAGAATCAAGTCAAATGAGATTACATAGAGATATAATAACTTATAACTTAGATAAGGTCTGTAAATGTTAACTGATTTTGCCAACGTGATGTAAATAGTAACAGATCTAAGTCAAAAGCAAAGTCTATAACTAATGTGCTTTCCCCAGACTGCAAAACGTTAATCCTTCCAATAACATTGCTTCCAATCTTTCTAACAAAACTACTGTCTGGGTAAAACCTCTGGAGCTAAATTTAATTAACTCTTTTGGACAATTAGGTTTCCACTCAATTGAAGAAGCTATAGAAATGATTTTGTTCATACTAGGAGTTCACGCTACTCCACCAGCTAGGTACTATATTAGGACTATGCAATTCCAAACTTATTTTTTGACTCTATGAGATCTTAAAACTGCCCTTTCACTTTCCATGTTTTTAATTACCATAGGTCAGTACATTACTGAATCATTAATTTAAATATCACTCAAGAATGAGGTCTTGTGAAAGAACAAAACGGCCTTATCACACATGATATAATACCATAGTAAAAAGTTTAGTGATATTTTCAAAACTAAAAGAAAAACACCATCAATTTCCTGATTTCTTTATAAATATAAAGAAATGTTCCCAGCTATATCTGCAAGGCCTAATACCATGCCAGCCATAACAGATGCTTGGCGGGGGGAAAAAAAAAGCTCAGTCACACAGCACCTTCAACATGAGCTACATAAGAGTAGTTAATTTTGGAACATTGTAAAAAACACAACCAGTAAATCTGATGGTGTAATGCTATTACTGTTTTAATAATAATAACAACTAACATTTGAGTTCTGACTACCAGGTATTGTGCTAAGGGCTTTACATGTATTATTCTCAGTAGGCAAAATTATTGCCTTCATTTTAATAAGAACACACCCATGTCAAGACAGAACAGTTACTGTTTATTTGGCAAAAACACATGGTTCCTCGCTAAACAGGTCTCTGCACAAAGTGGTCTCCACAGAGAGGCCTTCCCTAATCACTCTATCTGAAAGTCCATCTAACCCTTCTTTATTCTCTATTCCTGAACCTCACCATATTTATTATCCTTATAACTCCCCACAATCTGTACTTATCTTGCCTACATACCTGTTTACTGTCTTCCTCACTAGAAGGCAAGTCCCCCAAAGGCAGGGATCTTGTCTGATTTGCTCAGCACTATATATCCAGCACTCAGCACAGTGCCTGATTCAAAACAAGTGCTCAGTATTTATTGAATGGATGACAGAAGTTAACCAAGAGTACCAAAATTTTCTTTGCAAAAGTGAAAATTAGCTTAAATAAAAAATAAACACAAAATGACGTCTATTATAACAAAATGTTTATAACTATATATAATTATAAACATTATAAAATTTAAATACAAAATACATAAAAGCATAGTAGTTAAAAGCATGGAATTGGGGCCAGGCGCGGTGGCTCAAGCCTGTAATCCCAGCACTTTGGGAGGCCGAGACGGGCGGATCACGAGGTCAGGAGATCGAGACCATCCTGGCTAACACGGTGAAACCCCGTCTCTACTAAAAAATACAAAAAACTAGCCGGGCGAGGTGGCGGGCGCCTGTAGTCCCAGCTACTCGGGAGGCTGAGGCAGGAGAATGGCGTAAACTCGGAAGGCGGACCTTGCAGTGAGCTGAGATCCGGCCACTGCACTCCAGCCTGAGTGACAGAGCAAGACTCCATCTCAAAAAAAAAAAAAAAAAGGCATGGACTTTAGAATCAGAAGGACCGGGGTTTGAATCCTGGCTCTTGCCACTGTATGATCTGGGGCAAATTAATTAATCTAAGTCTCAGTTTTCTCATCTATAAAATGAGGGTATGGCCAAGCACAGCAGCTCATGCCTGTAATCCCACCACTTTGGGAAGCTGAGGTAGGTACATCACTTGCGCCCAGGGGTTCGAGACCAGCCTGGGCCACATGGTGAAACCCCATTTCTACAAAAAATTAAAAAAATTAGCCGGGTGTGGTGGCACATGCCTATAATCCCACCTAGAGGAAGGCTGAGGTGGGAGGATGGCCTGAGCTCAGGAGCTCAAGGCTGCAGTCATGATGGCAGCACTGCACTCCAGCGTGGGCGACAGAGTGAGACCCTGTCTTAAAAATAAAGCCGTAGTGGGGAGGTGGTGATAATACTACCTACTTAACAGAACAGTCACAAGAAAAAAATAATATACCTAGGACAATTCCTGAATAATGCAATTATTATGTTGGCTATTAAAAATGCTAATATAGTAAACAAATGTTTAATAGAATCTTACCTAGAAAGTTCCTAGTTGAGAAAAATATTTTCTATTTCTATTGTATCTAGTAACCTTTATAAATGAAATAAGATGAATGACCTTTTGATTCTATATCATGCATACCACTAAAACTGGCATTTGGGATAATGGGTCAACATTTTAAATGGAGGTCAGTAAGAAATGAATTCCCTTCATTTAAATTGGGTTAGTGGTTGTCTTGGGATGCCAGTAATAGCATTTACTTCTGGTCTAGAAAGAATCTGTTCTGTCACTAAACAATTTTAAAATTGTACTTTGGGATCACTCAGCTGATCCCAACAGTGAAGTTACTGCCCCCCTTTCAAAATAGTCTCACATTCCATACAATTAGCCTAAAGTTACACCTCAAGTTCAAAGTATACCACTTTAGACCTTAACGTGGATGAGCACTAAATATAAGGCAATAGATACATATACACTTTTATTTTAAACAAACATTTTGAGAATGATGGTGACTAAAAGGAGGAAAAAAAAAAGTGAAACAGGTAACAAAAAGGAAACAGGGAAAAGAAAAAGAAAAGCTTTAAAATCAATAACTCCAAAAAAACCAAAACTATTCTAAGGGGAAAAAATTTCATATATGCTTATGAGATAGTATAAGTGTTCTTGTGCATATATTTGCTTAACTCTTCAGCCTCATCTCTGGCTGGCTTTGACTTTTGCCTCTAAAACACAACCCCACCTGGGCCTAGGGCTCTTCATCCACCAGTTACAGGATTTAACTGAGGTTAAGTTAGCTCCTCTAGAAAACTCCTATGACACTTTAAAAGCTGGGTTATATATTCCTCCTATGAACTCTAACAGTGTATCTTCTGAATACAGTATTTATCACACTGTATTTATATCAGTCTATTTATTTTCTTACTATTGCATCTCTAGTTGAAGTGGATGGCTAAATGATAATTATTAAAAGGTAAATGTGTTATACAATTATAACTGAGGGGTATGAATCTTTTCCTATGTCTCCCCAAAAGTTTCAGAAAATGTTCAGAAAAATTTCAAAAAAAGAATATTGAATAGAAATGTTCTATTATGTACTCTGTGTTTTCCACAATATCAAGTACAAAAATGTTTTATTATATACCTTTTATTTTCCGAATACTACTTTAGCCAAAGGATGTAAATAAGTGAATCTTTGTTTACACATTTTATTAATAGTAAATGAGTTTCTTCCCTCCCAGTAAATATATACTGAATATATATTTAAAGAAATATCAGCCTAAATTGGCAACAAATTTTTAGCCTACCCACAATCATCAGTCCTGACCCTCATCCCAGTTCACAGCACTAACACATAGCAGGCCTGTAACAGATAATTTGTTAAATGAATGAGCCAAATAAACTTTTGAAGCATATGAATGGTATCTTCTTACATTAATTTCATTACCTGCATATTCATAAAACCAAGCCAGGCACTTCTTGCTTGAAAAATGTTCCTCTCCACTTATTAGTCTAGCAGGGGGTTGGGATCTGCAATAGCTTAGAAAACACACAGATGCCTAAGATTTTTATCACATCTCAACTCTTAGAGAAAAACTTTCAAAATTAACTACTTCAATTCACATTAAACAAAGATTTTTTTTTTCTTCGGTTGGCATTACTGGAAAAAAATTGAAGTTGTTAAGTAATTGCAACTTGAAACAGTAGTCTATACATAAGAATTATCGGCTAACAAAACCCAAACACCTCTTCACTCAGTATCAAAATCCAAAAATATCAGTAAGTTATTTCCTCACATTTTAAAAGACTACAAAGAAGTTCAACCTAGTAGTTGGAAAAGTATAAATATTTATTGTGATTCTATTGATTTGTATACAAATTCTATTTGTGTGTAATAGATAAATATTGAAAACACGAAGTATATTTTGATACTTAATGAATCAATATTTCAAAATAAAATGTTATATTAAGAGTTGTTTTATCACCTAAGAAATGATGACTTAGGACCTAAGGGTATATTAAATTTCACAGATTTAAAAAAAAACCCTAAAAGTTAATAATAGTCCAAATAATTGGGACAGGGTATTTAATCCTAGCTTCTGTTCATCGTGTTTCATTTTTTTCATAAAATTTCTCTTTTTCATAAAATAACTAAAATTTGGTAAGTTCAAAATGGCCTCTAGAATTTAATGACTTTCAGAGAAACTTTTTTCAAGGAACTCAAATAATTATCCTACAATGATATAGAAATGCTAGAACCTCTGTAATTGAGTAATGTAAAGTAAGAGTATTATATTTAAAAATTTAAATTGATAGAGCAAAGTATCACCTGAGTTCTAATAATACTGCCTGCTCAGCAATTTTGATGTACTTAATTTTAATACATTATATACTTAAGATGACCATGAGATAGAGTAATACAAAAATGAATTAATAATTTGCCTATATATTATAAAAATATGAGCTACTAAAGTAACCCATGTCAAATTCTAATGTTGGCTAACAAGAGGTATAAGAAAAGTGTATCATCTTTCACATTAATAGCCCAAGAAATACTTCTTAGACTCCTTTACCAAAACACAGTAATGAGGGAAAAAAGTCGACCAATTACAAAAAAGATGACTAGATAAGTCATCTGCCTCACAGTTTAAGCAGATCTCTGTTTAAGGAGAGCTCTAGCATTACTTCCTTCTTATAATCCTGGCTACTGTCTTCTTTTAATAGTAGCACCTTAAGTTGTCATATGAAGTGCCAAACATTGATGAAAAGGCAGCTAATATGGGTATTTTTTTAAAAAGCACTTCTCAGTCGGGCGAGGTGGCTCACGCCTGTAATCCCAGCACTTTGGGAGGCCGAGGCGGGCGGATCGCGAGGTCAGGAGTTCAAGACCAGCCTGGCCAACATAGTGAAACCCCATCTCTACTAAAAATACAAAAAAATAGCAGGGCGTGGTGGTGGACACCTGTAATCCCAGCTATTTAGGAGGCTGACACAGGAGAATCGCTTGAACCCGGGAGGCGGAGGTTGCAGTGATAGGAGATCGCGCCACTGCACTCCAGCCTGGGCGACAGTGGAAGATTCCGTCACAAAGGAAAAAAAAAAAAAAAAAAAAACACCACTTCTCACACCAAAATTGCAGTTATTTTTTTGTAGCATATAATTTTGCTGTGATGTCTCCAGGATACGCTACAAAGGGATCAAAGAACTACTACTATATAGTTCTGCCTTGTCTTCTTTCTTACCAATAGGACAGAGTACAAGAGCTCACAAATTATTTAATTTATGCTGAGAGCGAACAGCGTCCTGAATGCTAGAAGACAAAAAGCATGCAGGGCCTTTCCAACTCTGCACACAGGCACTTGGCATAGGTGAGGCACTATACTTCCAGAAAATGGGGCTCCTGCAATTTAAAAGGCCTCCTGCTGGGACCTTCCGGGTTAGGCCACTCCAAATACTAAATATGGAGGCCAATTACAGCATACAAGTTTTCCTTTCTACCATTCCCAAGACAGTTGACAAGATTCCTTATGTGCTGCTTTCTTCACACTCTACAAAGAAATTCTAGAAGTGACCCTTCCGCGGAACTGCACTCACTTCTAAGTCTAGAAAAAGGCAGAGGAGCGATACGGGAGTAGGAGATTGAGGGTCGGTTGTGGGGTGGGGGTGGGGGGCAGCGCAATTTACATATGCATCTGTTCCCCACCCTGCAGGGCACGTAGACTCTTAACGTGGGCGGCTCTTCTAGTCTCTCCATAAACGCCAGCGTGCACACACTCGAACACGAGGTCGGGTCGGGCGCGGAGACTCGCGGTGTTCGGCACCTACCGCCTAGCTCGATCAAAGGGGCCTCACCTGTCTCCAGCCCCAGCCCGGCAGGCCGGGCCCGACTCCTTTTCCTCCAGTTGTCCAGCAAAGGAGGGAGGAGGGAAGCTTGAAGGGTGGGGGGAGATGGTACCTGGAGATTTTACACTTTTTGAGGCCTCCGTCTTCCGCTACTGCGGCTGCCACCCCAGGGGATTTTCTCTTCTTCTTCACCGGCATCTTCCGCCCTCCCCGGCAGGGTGGGCAGGGGAGCCGGGGAAGGGGGTCCCTGTCCGCTGGAAGCCCCTCAGCGCTGGCACCCAGTTCCCAGAGACAGCAGCAAGCGGAGGAGCAGAGTCGCCAGCCCGCACCGGCGCGGCCCAGCCCGGCCGACGCCCGCTCCCAGGTATCCTCGTCGTCTTTCTCTGACCGGGACAGGGCTGGCTCCTCGCCGGTGAACACTGCGGTTCGTTCTCACCGGGAGGAGATAACGCGGACAGCGCGGCAGCTCCACCAGTCACAGAAAGCAGAAGGCTCAGCCTAACCCGGAGGCGAATCGCTGAGGCCCGGAAGTGACGCGATCGCGGAGCCGGTCCCGGGAAGGGGCGTGATTCCGGTTGCCTCTGCCACTGGTAGGTAGGCCAGGCAGGGAGAAGCTGTCTGACCCTCGCAAGTGCGGCTGCCCGCGGAATTCTGTATTCTGTCCAGAGTATCCTGACCTTTCTCATGGAGTTTCCACCGCGCTCTGAAGCTGGCAGTCACCGCCAAAAAATGAAACTACTAATACTTTGCAGTTGACGGTAAAAATAACCTGGTAATAAAGTAGACCAAGTTCCACTTCTGAGCTCTTCCACACGATAACCTCACCTGAAGTGTTCCCACCCCTTAAATGCATTGTCACCCTGTGTCTTGCGTGTTTTCTTTATGGGCCTGTGATCAGCCTCCCACTCCCCCTTCTCCCTTTTCCCTACCTTTGCTTATCACTTTGTCCTGTATTGAAACTTAGCTCTACCATTATTTCCACAGAGCTCACCTCTCCGATAACAGACAGTAGATGACCGCTACTTAGTAGGGAGAAATTTGGGGGGCAGTTCTAAGGAGCCTCCCCCAGACCTTACTAACCAAAACACACTGTAATCTATTCACCTGCACTTAGGTGGAAATACTGTTTTTAAATAATGGTTATTGTGTGTAAAAACATAGTAGAAATTCGTTAGTAATTCTGTTGGTAAAATAAATTTATCTCTGCAAACCAACTGTGATGGGAGAAGACTGAAAGTCTGAGTAACAGTTGAAGTGGTTCCTGTGAAACTACTTTCACAATGGCACCCTAATCTGGCCAATCCGAATATCATATTTCCTTAGTGTTATTAATTAGTTCAGGATGGACACATACTCAGGCTAGGCCAATGAGTGCCGGTGACACAAAATTAAACCACCAGGAAGCAATTTTATTTCCTATGGATTTGAACCAGAGAAGGTACGGAGAATGAAGCCAAAACTCAGAAGAGAGCAGTAGCAAGCAGAAAAATAGAAAAACCAGAATATGTTATATGATATGAGCCCGAAATCCATGATATGCCCTGGTTCACAGTTATGTGAACCAACAAATTTCACTATTTTGCATTTTCAGTTCAATTCTCTGTTACTTAAAACTGAAAGAATGTCAAAGTATATAATCCTTCAACCCATTTAAAAACGCATGAGGCCAAAAAAATCAAAACAGAATCAGATAAAGTCTCTAAATAGAACTACCATCTGCAAAAAGTACAGGACAGAGGAACATGTTAAATACCCAATGCAATCAGCAATATCTAGATGTCAGAAAAATCTACAGGACAAATGACCCAAATTCTGCAACAAATTATTAGGATGAGAGGAGAGAAGGAAATTAAAAGACTTAAAGGATATGTCAGTCATTTTCAGTGTGCACTTCTTATTTGAATTTGATTCACACAAACAGTTTAAACAATATTATAACATCTATGTGGCAGTTGGAGATGTTAAATAGCTGGATATTTGATGAAATTCTAGAACATGTAAAACTTATTTATAGCAATGGCATGTCAGTGACACTTGGGGACAGGGGTGAGTCGGGGATGTCACCCTGTGTCTTGCGTGTTTTCTTTATGGGCCTGTGATCAGCCTCCCACTCCCCTTTCTGGAGTGAGTCGGGGAAGACTGACTGCAAAGAAACACAAGGGAACTTTTTGGGTGATGAACATATTCTATGTCTTGATTGAAGTAATAGTATATATACTTGTCAAAATTCATTGAATTGTACACTTAAAATGGATATTTTTATGAATATTCTTCCTAAACAAAATTTATATAAAATGCGCAAAACAAACCACAAAATAAATGATAATGACAAAACTATTAGAGATAACCAAGCTTATTTCTTCAAGAAGTGAGCTGCAAAAGCTAAACAGCCCATTTTCCCAAGGAGGACCAAAGAAATGGAACAAAACCTAAAGGATGGAAAGAAAGATCTCAGAGGATATTAAAGGTGTGTCCTTCCAGAGAGTAGAATCAGGGCCTGATCAAAGTGTAGAGAATTTCATAATGCCTGTCTTGCAGGCTACCAGCATTGCTATAGACCAAAGACCACTGCACATCTCATCTTCTGTTCTTTTTTAAATAGGAATTTTTTTATTGTGATAATTGTGTCCCTTCTTCACCATTATTTATTGGGCGAGAGCGAGAAATAGATTATTGCCTCTTAGTTCATAGGCCATTGGACCATAAGGAATCACTTTCGAACAAAGGAAGACCCCACTATACCTGGAAATCCTGGACATTGAGCTGAATGCAGTAACTGAACTGGAGCCTACTGACATCCATAGAATACTCTGAAAAAAAAAGACTAAAGGCTGGATCTATGTGTGGTTTTCATTTAGTCTATCTACTCAAAAAATATTTAATCATCACTTCAACCAGGAGCTTTACTGGGCCTAAGAATATAAAAGGCAGACATGACTCCTGCAATCATGGAGCTGCCAGTCTGGAGGGAGAAATAGTCATGTACCACGTAACGACATTTTGGTCAAGATGTGGATATGTGATGAAGTCCCTTAAGATTTTAATACTGTATTTTTGCTGTGCCTTTTCTATGTTTAGGTACGTTGAGATACACAAATACAATTGTGTTAAAATTGCCTACAGTATTCAGTACAGTACCAAGCTGTACAGGTTTGTAGCCTAGGATCTATAGGCTATACCATATAGCCTAGGCATTAGTAAGCGATATTATCCAGGTTGTATAAGTACACTCTATGATGTTCACACAATGATGAAACTGCCTAACGACATTTCTATATGACTCTATGTATGCTATCTGCATTTAAGAGAATTATATGAATAGGAATTAGGGTTCATAATCTATGCTTGTCAATGATATCAAAGGGATGGCAATTTCTGGGTCATTTAGACCATTCACATCTATCTACCTCTTCATTCTCTTGTCTGGTCAGTACCTACTGCTACTGGCAAACCTCCATTCCCAAAAGTTGGCTCTTCATCACCCCAATTACTCTCACAAAGGGGCATATTGATAGCCTTGCTACCTATGAGAAGTATAGAAATGCCTAGTTATGTGGCTTTAATATTTTCTGCTGCTCACTGATGCACACATAGTGCATGATTTTGCATCAAAAAAGATACCTCTAATACAGAAACAAACTATGATGAGTACTGTGGCTCTCTGCCGTGCAGTAGAATTTTTAAAATGAAGGTAATGACAAGGAAGGGAGGGATGAAGTAGTTACCTGAAGCGGAAGCCTGTGTGTTCTGGTCTCAGATCCAAAGGAGACACTCAAGTGACTTTAGGAAAGGGACATAATTTCCTTTATCTTTCATCTTATCCTACTATTATACAGAAGGATGTAGGAAAAAAACAACAAAAATAACACTTATGTTGAATAGGGAAGTAATTAAACAAGAATACTGAGACCCAGTTCTGTTATCTATTTGGCATCTTGGTCATATATACATCCTTTAGCTTTTGGGAGTTATAAAACAAAGCCATGAAAAACATCTCTTAAAATAGTTATATCTCTGTCAAGGTATCCAAAAATAGTACCCTAAGATGTGTTAATTTATATATTCCGTACATAGTTTAGTTTTTCTTAACACCTCTTTAAAATAGGACTTTCCCACTTGCAAGAATAACAAGCAACACAGACATTAAGTGATTTGTGGGATGCCACATGTTATTGTGGTCCTGGATCTGTGCAGATGCTCTCCCTTCCATATATTAATGTTGATTTTTAAAACAACTTTGTAGTTAAAAATTTTGTGAAATGTGTCATGCACATAAATCTACAGAAAGATAACACTAAGAGACTAGTAGAAATGAGATGTCAAGACAGGATTTTTTGTTTTGGCATTTCAGTATAGCCTACAAGAATTTGTGTTTTAGGGAGGCCCAGAGGTGCAGAACTATGTAACTCATGACACTTACCCCCTACACCCTAAAGCTTGGCTGTGACTGTGGTTCATTCTGGGATCTAGACTGAGGGAATAGTCACTACCTAGAACACTGCTTGGCATCATGACAGAGGGAAAGAACAACATGGCAAACCTCATGCTGCCTGTCGAGGATTCTGCCCTGAAGTGACACATTAATCCTGTTCAAGTCATGTGGCTACACCTGAGGTCATGAGGGCAGGAATGTACAATCCTCCTGCAGAGAAACATCAAGTAAAGGTAAATACAGCCTACTACAATAAGAGATTAGACTGAAATTTTGTTCAAAGCGTAGGGAAAAATGAGTTCACAGTGCAATTTTAAAGAGGCAGTAGGAAAATGCATAAGATTGGTTTCTGCTTATACCTCAATATGGCAGATTATATTCTTCAAAGGTGGTCACAGCAATATGTCTCATCCCACATATTCTAGAAGCTTACCATTTCCTATCAAAAAGTGAAGTCTAGTTGAAAAAAATAAACATTGGTTCATTCATTGTGGGAAATGTACCATACCAACGTAAGACATTAGTAATAGGGGAAACTGGGTGTGGGATATATGAGCAGTTTCTGTAGTATCATTGCAATTTTTCCACAAAATTAAAACTCTTCTAAAATAAATTATTAAAAAGTCATAGTGAATAGGGAAAAATAAAGAAAATTTAGAAAATAGTGAAGTACAGGAAGAAAGAGTAATGATTCAAAAGAGCTGCCTAGGTTGGATGCTTTTGGAAAGGTAAGAATCTAAAAACTTCTGGATGTGGGATCATAGGTAGAAAGCAATGTCTTATATATAAGCTAGCTAAGGATAGAGCAATTTCAACTTGAAACCTAACCAGGAAGACTAAGAACAAGTGCTCAGGTGGGAAACTGTATTAAGCAGTATACCTGATTTACCTTCCTATATGTGAATATGTACCCCAAATGAAGAAAAGTAGTTCAGGCCAAGTGCTGTGACTCATGCCTGTAATCCCAGTACTTTGGGAGGCCGAGGTGAGTGGATCACTTGAGGCCAGGAGTTCAAGACCAGTCTGACCAACATGGGCAAAACCCTGTCCCTAATAAAAATATAAAAATTA